TCACTTTGTCCTACGTCCCACAGATTTCCAAGTTCTTCTGGTGAACAACTCTTCCTCATACAATATCAGATATAAAACCTGTTTGCATTTTGTGGGTTTTACAAGCAAATGCAAATCATACATAAAACAGAGAGAAAAAGCACGCAATGCACACGTCTTAAAGGCTCAGCTCCCTCTTAGGCCTGGTGAAATGGTGTATGCACATGTCAGAAAGTCCAGCCGCATCATTTCTCTCCAGATTTTCCACACAGCTCAGCACACCTGGTTGAGGGGACGCTGAGGTGCTCCCCCCAGCCCCCACCCCACTCCCTTAACGCAGCCTGCATTATAAATTCTAAGCTCTTTTGAAAAAATGCAGCCCTGCAGCATTTTTAATATAATATAAACACTGCAAAGTTCTTCTCTTTTCTGCTGTTGATGAAATCACCTTGAAGGTAATGATAATCACCATCAGCCCAAATGCGCACTGACAAAGCAAAAACAATTCTGAGGCACTGACATTCAATGTCCTTTTACCCTTACTCTTCTCTGGCAGAAATTCAGCTAATCAACAGCTAATTGAAGTAACCATTGCATCACAGGACTCTCTCCCTATACTAACAATTCACTTCAATGCAAAATGGCCTTAAAGCAACTGTCTGACTTTTTCAAACGTTAATTATCCATACTGCAGTTTTTTGTATTTGGCATGCTGGTTCTAATTCTTCTACTCCTAGAATGGGTATTATGTTTATTCTTCCCTACTTACCCATCACTACATCTATAGCACGCAATAAAAATGAACAACACTCAGAAAGCATTCTGAAAGTATGAAGGCAGGTAATGATGATTATCTGACTAGACACCTCTTCTATGCACACAGAGTGCATGGAAACATAGCTATGGCTAAGCAGTAGGCAAGCACCACTCTTACTTCCTTTCCTTTTTCCCACTGGCCCCTGCCCCTTCCAATTCCTATTTTTATATGTTTAAATACTTTCTATATATAATATTAATACATTTATTACACTTATGTCAAAACTTTCCTCCAAGGTCCTCAAGGCAACATACATATTTATTCTCACAGATACTGTGTGCGGTAGGTTAGGCAGAGACAAGACAATTTATCCAAGGTCACTGAGTGACCTTCATGACAGAATGGGGTTTGAAACATGGGGTGGTTGGTAGGGAAAGTGATGTAATGTCCTCCCTAACAGCTGCTTGCCCAGTTAGGAGGACTCATAACTTGAGATATGACTCTTGTGCTCTCCATCTTGGCTTAAGTATATTTTAACCCATTAAGTATTGCCAAAGGTACATCCATTAATAACAGGCACCACTGGAGCATCAATATGAATATGCGAGGAAGGACTTTAAAAACATCAACCTTTATTATATTTATATCCTACCTTTCTCCCATTCTGGAACTCAAGGGGGCTACATGTGGTTCCCAGGTTGTTTCCCTTCCAAGCTCAGGTCCGGCCCAGACCTACTTAGCTTCAACATAGCAAACGCCTTATCTGCCTTTAGACCATACTCTGGGCTACACAGCATGGGCTGTTCCTGGGTCAGAGGTCCCCTGATGTGTCACCCCTACAAACCAAGTCTAGAGCCTCACAGGCTGTCTCATTCAATAATGGAAGACAGCAACCATCTGTCACATAAAATGGTAACCTGGCTGCTCTCTTGGAATGTGACATTCAGGAACAACTGTCAAATCAGCCCGCTTATTCAATGCTTTTCACCTGGGCTGGCAGGCTGTTCAGAGATCTTAAAGGAGAATTTTACCACTGCAGTGGTGGTGACAGTATTGTAAGACAACCTTCCAGTGTAGCTTGGTGTTATGTGGTCTTCCAGAACATTGAGTTTTTCACAGAAATGGAGTCAAGGGGTGGACAATGGAGTTGATTACAGTAGGAGTGCTGGGGGAAAGGGGGTGATCAAAAGCTTTCCTTTGCATGGGGTAGGGAACAGGAGGATTCCTGTCAGAGTTATTCTGAACACAAAAACAGCACAGCAAAAGGCAAAGTGTTAATCAGTCATACATACAAATGTGCAACATACTTGTGGGACTGATGCCATCAATTTCACAGCAGTTGGCTCACCAATCCCTCCCACCTTTATTCCCCTTTTAAAAACACCATGAAATAACCATGTGGCATTTGAACCTAGTCCTACTAGGATTGGATGAAGGCTAATAAACTGAAACTTAATCCAGATAAGGCAGAGATACTGTTGGTGGGAGGATTGTCTGTTCAGATGGGAGACATCTTGCCTGTCTTGGATGAGGTCACATTCCCCATAAAGGACAGGGTTCACAGCCTGGGGGTGCTCCTGAATTGTCCCTGAAATTCCAGGTGGATTTGATGGGCAGGAGTGCCTTCCATCAGCTGAGGGTGATCTACCAGCTGTGGCTATATCTGGACAGACAGGACCTGGCAACTGTTATCCACACACTAGTAACCTCATGCCTAGACTACTGCAATGCACTTTATGTGAGGCTGTCCTTGAAGACAGTCTGGAGACTTCAACTGGTCCAGAATAGGGCAGCTAGACTGCTAATGAGAACTGGCAGAGATGATGATATAAATCCAGTCTTTTACCTTCTTCAGTGGTTACCAACTGAAGTCCAGGCCCAATTCAAGCTGGAAACTTCAGAGTTTAAAGCCCTAAATGGATTATCTAAAGGAGCACCTCATCAGGATATAAGGAGAGTGGCTACAAGAAAAAGGATCTCTCCAGGCCTGGCACCCCAACTTTGGAATGAGCGCCCCAGAGAAGTTCGCCTGGTGCAATCTTTATATTTTTTTCAGTGCCAGGCAAAGACCTTTTTATTTCACCAGTATTTTGATTGCTAAACTGGTTTTTAATGGTATTTTAACAGAATGGGACATGTATTTTATGAAATCTGGAGTTCAGGTGGGCGAGCTTTTATCATTGTTCTATTGACATCTTAGTGTTTATGATATTGTTTTATATGGTTTTTATAGCTGTAACCCAGCCAGGGAGCTGTGTGGCTAATGGGTTGCGTTAGAAATAAAATAAGTAAATGTTAAAACCACCACATCACTCTGGTTATTCTTTCCCTTCCTGTTTCCACTTCCCCATTTCCTCAAGCCCCTATTCCCTTATCACAGAGCTTTCCCTCCTGTTCCCCTCTTCCTTTCCTGGGATCCTCATCTGATCCTCCTTTAGCATCCTTTCCCTTGGTCCCTTCTTTCATCATATTTCCTTCCCTGATTGCCCGCTTTGCTCATCCTCCCTTCTTTTGAGCATTACATTGTTGCAGAAGCAGGCATTCTTCCTATTTCTGTAAGTAATGGGGGAAATAGAAATATGCAAGCTCATCCTGCACAAAGAGAACCTGAATCAAAACATTTCTTTGCCGGATATAATATTGAGTTAGAGAAATGGTAAAAGCTGTGGGAAAGAAATATTAAAGTAACATTAGCAACTTCATATAAAGAAAACCTGTATAAAAGGTTTTATAGATGGTAAGGTAAAGGTAAAGGTTTCCCCTTGACATTACGTCCAGTCATGCCTGACTCTAGGGGGCGGTGCTCATCTCCGTTCCCTAGCCAAGGGAGCCAGTGTTTGTCCTCAGACAGTCTCCGTGGCCATGTGGCCAGCGTGACTAAACACTGAAGTGCACGGAATGCTGTTACCTGCCCACCAAAGTGGTACCTTTTTATCTACTTGCATTTGCATGCTTTCGAACTGCAAGGTTGGCAGGAGCTGGGACAGGGCAACGGAAACTCACCCCATTGTGCAGATTCGAACTGGTGACTGCGCCACCTGCAGTCCCTTATAGATGGTATCTGTTGCCAAATAGGTTAGCTAAGATGTTTCCAAACATGTCAAATGGATGTTGGAAATGTAAACACAAATCAGGTACTTTTTATCATATGTGGTGGACAAGTGATAAGGCAAAAAAGTATTGGATTAAAATACACAAATGGCTTGAGGAGATGTTACAAAAACCTCTAACATTTAAACCTGAAGTTTTTTTATTAGACATCGTACCTGATGATCTTAGTAAACAAGCAATGTATTTGACTCTACATGTAACCACTGCGGCGAGGATTGCATTTGCCCAACACTGGAAGAATGAAGAGCCACCTACTGATGAACCAATCCTAAAAAAGATTTTGGACTGTGCGGAAATGGACAGATTGACTTTGTCTCTGAAGGAGAAAGAAGATACAGACTTCTATCAAACCTGGGACTCTTTTTATCATTGGCTAGAGAAACGGGACTATGCATAGACTTAAATATGTTTACAGTTTAACATAAAAAGAAAAAATGTGGGGGGCTGACCCAGTAGGTCTGATGTTATTGATGATTGATGCTTTTTAGTTTTTGTTTTGTTTTTGTTAGGTATATATAAAGAATAAAAGTTATTCAAAAAAAAAATCTTTGCCACACATGTGGAACCTGGAAACAGCTGTGCTCAGGGGAAGTGCTCATGCACTGAATCAACATGGGAGGAGGGTCATGGTGATAAGCGCTGCCTCAGTATCATGAGCCCCATTTTCCCTGCCCCCTGAAGTCCAGATATACATCACAGAGAGGAAGCCTGTGTGTGTGTGTGTGTGTGTGTGTGTGTGCGCGCGCGCGCGCGCGCGCGCGCGCAGAACTATGCTTTGAGGCTTTCTCTCTGAAGCAGATGTTCAGCCCCCACCATTTCTGCATATGAGCATTTCTTCTGAACCTGGTTCATTTGTAAAAGACAGCTTGTGATTAGGTGTTTTGTTAAACCCCTAAATATATTTGAAAGAGGAGACATTCACCATCCAAAGTTCAGCAGATTTCAACCAGAACCAGATCAGCTTAAAACCAAAATACTGTACCTGCACTGGAAAGCTGACTGGGTCATGGAGCTAGTTACTAATCCTTCACCTTCTGAAAGGCCACCAATGAGCCTCTGCAAGCAACTCCGAGAGGTTTTGCCTCAGACCTTAAGCAACGACCCTCTCAGTGGCAAGTGCACTCCTTACTCCATACAGTAACTGAAGACCTACCTTGAGTCTGTGGGAAATATGGAGCCAACAGCTTTGCCCTTTTCTTCTCATACCCCTTCTGAGTAATGTCCCCTGAAAGAAATCAAGGAAGCCGATATCAGACTTAAGTTTCAATGGTTGGAAAAACAAAGGAAAATAGATTTCAAATGGGCATGTGGGTCATTCGGATGTAAAGTCTGTCTCGAGCAACAACGTTACATAAACTCTTTGGAAAAAAGCGGAATGATCAAAAATCACTCTCAACATCCTTCACTGCTGTAGAGATTTTTCATACATTTTGATGTTATATCCAAGGTTACTAGTAACCCATTTTATCAAGAAGACCGGATATAATCAGCAGCCTTTCGGGAATGCTGTGCAAGGTAAGCACTGAAATAGCAAGTTCCATACAAAGTATCAGATGATGATGAAGACAATGACAACAACAACAATAATTAAACTATTCTCCCTAACACAGAACTGTCTAAAGTGCAGGAAGCACCATCTGGCCGTTTGACTATCTAAATTCTCATAGTTATCTGAATTGCAGGAAAGGCTAAAAACACGAAAGGATTAAGGTAAGAGAGAAAAGCAGGAAACATTGAAATAGTTTTGCTGTCTGTGCTGCTCTGCCTTCACTATAATTGTAATGATCCTCAGGGTTGAAGAAAGAGGCATCTGGGAGTGATTCAACAGAAACAAAATTGGCCCTGGGTGCCATTTTAACTAGAAGTGAAGTTTGTTACTGGTATCAGTTGGGAAGAGCTTTTCTCCATGGTCCTTTCAGCACAAAACCCAGACACCCTTTATCAATTTAGGAACAGAAAGCCAAGCATCAAACATTTTCCACTATATTACCTCTGGCAAAACTGTTTCTAATCTATTTTTATCTTCGCTTCACAAAAGATCTATAACAGAAAAGTGGCACCAGAGTTATCCCCAGTTCATCAGATGGACTGCAGAAGTGGTCTCAACTAAGATAATCAAGTCAATCTGTGGCAAAACCAGAATGCACCATCAGTCCACTCATTCTACGACGCCCAACCATCATCAGCTCACACTCTCAGGGTTTCTGTGAACACTGGAATATATTCTTTGAGCTTTATACAACTGGTGTCCTGATCTTCGTATGTGGAAACAGGAAAGTCTCTGCTCACAAAGAGCAGAGGAAGGGTCTTGTGTCTCTTTAAACTTACACATTTGTGCTTCTGGGGGATGGGGATGACTTCATAACAAGTTGTTTAACCTTTCCAAAGAGATTGGAATGACTGAACTGGTACTAGATAAAAGCCAGCACTTAAAAACTGTCACAGCAACCAGTGGATTTTACATACCTTCTTTGCTTCACATTTCTGTCTCACTGTCAAAATACCCTTTGCAATCCCCAATAGAGGTGCTTTGTACTTATGGAAATCCCGTTTGCTGTTGCTGTACCAGCATTACACCAGTGCTTCCCAGAATCGATGCCCAGTGTGGAAGGCAAGCACCTATTCCTAAAAGCCCCAACTGGCAATAGCTTCCTAGCATATGTTGCCAACTGTTGAGAAATGGCAAGTGCCTGTCACATTTGGCACATTTCTCAGAAGCAAGGCTGAGAAAAAGCACCACACTGCGCAACTGCCATGTAAGTATGAAGCAGCTTGAACTGAAGTGAGCTTATGTTGCCTCAGGCACTAACTATGTAGTCAACCCCAGATGGCCACACCTCCCCACTCCCCCTTGCATCATACTTTGGCAAGCACAAACAAGTGGAGGGACAGTGATTTCTTTATCTTACCGACTTATTCATGTATCACCTGTCCCCACTGATTCCAGGGCAGTTTGCAGAAATTTTAAACAAAACAATGTAATATAGTCAACAACTACTAAAGATGGTAGACAGAAATTCACAGTAGAGTATTTAAAATACTTTGAAAGCCTGAGAAATTTTAAAGAATAATATATGGGTACCAGGCAAGACTTCCAGGAACAGTGGGCTGCAGCTGAAAATGTCCCCTCTCTGATCACAGCCAATGGTGAGGATAATTCAAATACTGTGAGTGAACACGGTAAGTGAATGCCTGTAGTATATGACTAGTCAATATGGAAAAAGGTGCTCCTTTCTGTATCAAAGCTTTATTAGGCAAGCAGTAGCTCATTGGGCATGGAAATGCACTGGCAGCCAGGAAAGCTTTTTCAAGACTGGTGTTAGGCGTCTCCAGTCAGAAATCACATTCCAATGCAATGGCACAACTGGAGGTAAGGGGCAGAGCTGTAGCGGTCAAATTTGAAATGCAAGTGTTTGTCATGACAGTCTTCATGCCTCAAGGAGAGTCCAAAAATAGCAGCTGTGTTGGTCAGTACCAGTTCCAGTAGTTTGCATCTCCACCAGAAGAAAGTCTTTTGTGAAGCTGCACGGCCATGCAAAGTATTGGGAAATCCATTTTACCCCCAGCTATGCAAGGATTACAGCTAAGCTTAGAGGGAAAAAGGAAGTTGGTGGGGGGAGATGATTGCAGATGACATCATGAAACTACCTTCAGGAAGTTCCAGCACTTTGACCCTGTAAACCCTGACTCCACTAGAGCCCTTACTCAAAAACAAGAGGCTGAATACTAGTTGTAAACATTTATATATGTTTCCTATGCCTTGCCACAGAATTATTTTTCCCTAGGCATGTCAGAGTCATTGCTCTGTTTAACTTTGATTTTGTTAGCTTCCTTGAACATGTCAAAACAAAATTTCACAGCATATAAAACAGATAAATAAGAAAGCAACAAGGGCATTTTGCTAGCATGTCTACTCCAGTGGCTTGTGTATCGTTCTGCCCATGCATCATGCTTTAAAGGTTTGAAACTGACTACAAACCTAGTCTAACCCTCCTGCTATGAAAGAAGCCACTGCACATTTATTTCATCTGTCGGATTGATCTGGCTGCTTTCAGAAGCAGCACAGAAAGGTTCCAGCAGCATCCTGGCCTCATTTTCTTTGGAAACTTCTGCTGAATTTTCTATAGTTTCTACAGAAATGAACTCTCTCGATAATGGTGAAGATGTATTAAAGCTTCATTCCTGTTATAGGGACCATCAGCAACAGTCGATTATTCTCAAAAATCATTTAAAATAATCTCTTTCTTCAGTTAAAAGCTTTCTTGCTAATTCATTTTTTTTAAGTCTGCACAACATAAACAGAGTGTTCTTTAAAAACTGAGAATCCTAGATCTGATTTTTCAATGTACATCTTCCTGTGTTTATGGATAAATTAGAAAATGCCACGACCAAAGCTTTTATTGTACAGGAAACAGGAAGCACATACCTATAGCCACTGTTTTTCCAACTAAAGGGATTATTTTCAGAATTTTTCACAGGCTGGCCCAAGTTTTTTACAGTAACTGATTCAGAAGTAGAATAACAGCACTTCAAATAGGTGCAAAAGGGGACTACCAACTGTTATGTTATATTAAATGATATAATTATGATAATTACTTAAACAATTTGATTCACTTAAATGATATAATTTAATTTCATATAAATTATAAATTTATATACATTTAAATTATTATATTAATTATATGATGACTGTTTAATTAAAATAATGTAAATAACTTAAATCATATAATTATGATAATTATATTAAACTGATATTCAATTTAGCGATGTATTTGCAACCCATGACACAGAAAGACCTACAGAATTGGGGGGAAAAGGAGAAAAGGAAACTAAAATGAACAAGCAGCAGGTCTGACTCCCCTATAAGGAAAAGGTTATAAAGTCTGGAAGCTTATTAAAAAACAGACAAGTAAGTAGAAACATGATTGAGGTGTACAAACATATACATGGTCCAGAGGAAGTGGATTTCTTCCCCTCTCTCACAATACTAGAATCCATGGTCAACCCATGAAGCTGACTGGCAGGAGTTTCATGACAGATAAAAGGAAGTACTTCACAGATTGCATCAACAATGGAATTAGTTATGGCCAATGTAGTGATGGCCATCAATTTGGATAGTTTAAAAGGGGGATTGGTTAATTCCTAGGGCAGTGATGGTGAACCTGTTAGTGACCGAGTGCCCAAACTGCAACCCAAAACCCACTTATTTATCGCAAAGTGCCAACACTGCAATAAAACCTGAAAACAGCCAGTCCAAGCATCTATCTATCTCCCTGGCAGTGCACTGACTGGCCATGCGAAAGCTCGGACAAGTCGCAGCTAATGTGTTGCGGCTTGTGACATTATCGCCTGGCACCACTACTCCTTTCCGAGCATGCACATGGCCCCTATATGCGCTGTTATCCAATGCTCGGCTGCTGGGGCAATGCTGGGGCGACTTGGCTCGCATGCCGAGAAAGAGGGCTCTGCGTGCCCGCTGTGGCACGCGTGCCATAGGTTCACCACCACTGTCCTAGGGGAAAAGGCTGGCAATCTCTATTAGTTCTGGTGACTATTTGCTACCTCCACTCTCAGAAGCAGCTGTGCCTATCTATATCAGTTGCTGGAGAATATGGACAAAAAAAGCTATGGGACTCATGTGCCACCGGTGTGTTTCCCATAAGACAGTTGGTGGCCATAGTGTGCAAGGAATGCTGGATTCTTGGTCTGAACCAGCATGGCCTTCCTTATGTTCTTATATCTGAAGGCTATTATTCCACTGAATCAACTTAGTCCAAAGAAACACTACCTAACCCTAAAAATATTCAGTATAAATGCCATTCACTTCCAAATATTATAGATAGGATGCACCCTTTAGATGAATAAATTCACAAAAATGACAAGTAACAAGGATTAAAGTTTTGAATATAGTTACAGATCTAGTATTCCACTCCAGAGTTTGCTGCATTGGCAAAAGGCTACCAATTCAACCTTCAATTCTGAAAATCACTGAAAAAGACATTGAATTATAACTAAATCTTATATATTGAAATTTAACATAAAACTATTTAATACACCCTGTCTTTCTTACATCACTGAACTCAGGGAGGCACTCATAAGGTTTCCGCAGGGCTTTCCAACTGGGCCGAATCCAAACTTTCTTGGCTTCAGTTGATGACTGTAACATGTGCTGTCATGCTGACATTCTAGACTAGCAATGGCCCAACTAGCAGTGAATGGCTCAGG